ATCTTATTTGGAATAAGCCCAAGAGGCATGTGACTGCTGCAGTACAACCCTTTCAAGGGAAAAATAAAAGAGTGGTTAAGTGAAATGTAATCTTGAAGGACTGATTTGATGTTTTTGTTTCAATTTTTTTCTCTCTCTTTCTGATGCAAGTGGGTGGTTGTGAACTGAATTCCTTCTTCACTAGTCAGTATTTGTATAGCATGTGTCTTGGTTCAGCTAAAGATATTGTTCATAGGCATATGTCTCAAAAGTTCTAAGTGGTGTGAGAAGGATTGCTCTTGCATACCTGAGCCAGGTCTGATGTATTGAATGTTTTGATTGTTCTCAGGGGAAGCGCATATTTTCAAGCATTTGCCAGTGTGGAACAGTGAGGGGTGAATTTAAAGTGAGTAAAACTCCATTTTAAGGAACAACTTAAGCTCTTTATATTCATTGAGTATGAATCTGAGCAAGATATATAAAAGACAGGTGATGGGTAATTTTCGTAATGTTATGATAAGACTTTATCCTACATAATATTGCCTGTATGTAGTTGTGTACATTAAAAGGGAAATATGGAGATCAGATTTACTTGATTTAGTTTCGGTTGTCTTTTCTCACAATTGACTGTTGGGCATTATACATACATAATCTCAAGATTTACGAAGATGCTGTAGTCTTCATGATTTCCAAGTAAACATACATGGAACATTTTTTTGATTGGAGAAAATATGCACACCACCACTTTTGCTTGACACTTGTAAACTTTGTCAGATTCACAGCAGCCAGAAACGAAAGAGCAGTTGGTGAAATACTGTTCCAAAAATAAAGTTCATACCTTTACCATATATTTAAGACACAAAGTGACTCTGGCATCTACATGGTAACAGGCTTTCCATTTTTAAAAAGGAGTTTTGATGGAGAAAATATGCACACCACCACTTTTGCTCGACACTTGTAAACTTTGTCAGATTCACAGCAGCCAGAAACAAAAGAGCAGTTGGTGAAATACTGTTCCAAAAATAAAGTTCATACCTTTACCATATATTTAAGACACAAAGTGACTCTGGCATCTACATGGTAACAGGCTTTCCATTTTTAAAAAGGAGTTAAAGATTATTATTTGATATAGGAAGGACCAATGTGGTCTTGAGTTGCATTAATCCAAATGCATAAAATAAATCTGATGATTAGTTCTACACTACACCGAAAGCTAAATTAATGCTTTAGAGTAAAAGAGCTTGCCAGAGCTTGTAGCATATCTAATATTTGGAAAATGGCATTCAGTAATATGTAATCTTTCAAGCCTAAATCAATTGACTTTGTGAAAGGGGTATCTTCAAGGCTTTGGAATACCTAAGGGTATCATTCCATGCAAGCTACTTTTTACACCACATTTGTGAAACGTCAGAGATTGGGAGGAAAACCGTAGATGATCATAAATGTGGTATCATTGTTATGTAAATAGCCATTGAATTTTGATGTGTATATACAATATTAGATTCTATTAAATTTTGAAGCAGTGGCAGGTCCTGTGAAACAGATGTTTATATTGTCTCTCCATCTCACTCCTCAGTTTTATAGTGGGCAAGGACAGTATAGTTATTTTTACATATTTATGTGAGTTTCTAGCAGTGTGTGATATTCTCATTCAAGTTCATTTTTCTTAATTATTTTTTATGCATTTTTTTTTTTTTTTTTTTCTTCTTCTTTTTTTTTCCTATTTATAATTATTAATGGTTTGTTTGTAGTAGTGGTACTAGTGATAACATTACCATTAGTATTATTACTACTCAGGACTCTTTTGTAACCACACTGCAACTGTTAATAGTTACTTTTAAATGAAAATCCTACAGTGTGTTTAAACTGGTTTTTCAGTATACTTTAGTTTTTTCGTTGTATGTCAATGTGACGATGTTTTTTGCTGTATGATTGTACACCCCCTTCCAATACTACTTATACTGAGATCACTGGTACAGATATATGTATCATTATAACTACTAGCACATTTCTGTGGATCATTTCATGTTATATGATTATGATTGCATACATCAGACCACCATTGCATCCAAGTACTATTATAATGGTGGTCTCTTTTTTTTTTCTTTTTTTTTATGGATACTCATATCTTCACTCAATTACCATTATGCTGCTCATGGATTCTTATATAATGTTTTATTTTTTACAGTATTACGTGATATATATTTTGAAAGGAAAGTATGTTTTAACTATGCATCTGTTTGGTTTAGAATTAAAGTAGTTTATTAGCCTTCATTTTTAGGAGTGTGTGTTCCAAATGGTTTCTGAGTATTACCACTATCTCTGTTATCATTATCTTTTTTTTTATCATTATAATTATTATTTTTATTGTTGTTGTTGTTTGTTAATGTCATTATAATTAGTATTGCTGTTATTATTTTTGTGGAGATGATGACTATTATTGGTTTTTATATGGTGATTAAATTTTCCTTTGACGGACATAGCTGGGGTATTGATAACAAGCAAAAAGCATTCATTTCAGATAGTTCTCAGATGTCTAGTCAAACCTTTGCGTGTGTGTGTGCGTAATGGCTTTTTTGTGATATTAGAGAAGTTGAAAAATATTCACTAGGTTGCTTAATTTATTCAGTTTGAAATGGTATTCTGTGTTCTTCCAGCTAAGAACTGGTAACATTGTCATGATAGTGAACGAGAGAAGTGTATATTGATACTACAGTTTATATTGGCTGTAAACCATGTGCATTTTAATAACTCACAATGTAATAAAGAATGGATCATTTTTTTCTTATTTTATTTCTTCAGCTTTTAGAGTGAATGTTACTCCATCTGCTTAGGTAATATTAAAGATATTAAATTTAGACATTATATATATATATATATATATATATATATATATATATATATATATATATATATGCAGTGACAGTTTTTCAATAAAGTAACTTCAGGTTATTTATATTTAAGCTAGAGTATATTTGGGATGGTTAGAAGTAAAGAATAAAACAGATTTTAAATGTAAAGTTAGTTTATACAGTTTTGAAAAAAAATATTGAAAATATAATATGGGCAACATTCTTTGTTATGGTTATTGATTCTTAATTCAATAGCTTTAACATGCTCTTGATCACATTTTGTTAATTGTAAAATAATGTGTGATAGTTGGTAAGATAACCGTGTGGAAAATATATTGAGTTCCAGACATGGATAGTGACACACAGTTCGTTAGATAAGCAGGTTTCCTTATTTTCTTTCTGCTCTTTACTAAGGAGCTGTACATAATGAAACTACAACACATTCTTAAATAATTTATTTTACAAATTTACATGTATAAAAACTATTCTACAGCATTTGTGACAAACATTCAAATAACCTATATTACTTCATCATCATGTAAATCACCACAGACAAGTTCACTATCCCACAAGATGGATAACCCCAAAACTAGTGTTTCATCTTTTGAATGACTCAAGTGAAACATTTGAATATCAAAGTTTACCATTAGAAGAACATATAATTCTATCACAATTTATCAGTCCCTAAAACAGGTGATACACCTGAAACGAGTTACATTGTTTTACTCAGAGGTTCTAACAAGTGGTAGTTAATATGTATGGTAAAAATCTATATATGATAGTTACTATTATAAATATGTTGCTTCTATGAAAATCATTTTTTTATAAAAGGACTTGATTGTTATAAATTGTTAGAAATGCCAAAACGAGGAGTAAAACTGAACTCAGAAGTACACATTGCAACCACTTTTCCTATATATTCACATCAAAATGTGAATATCATTAAAGCTGCACAAAAAAAGAAGGAAAAGAAAACCGCTACTAGAAGGCGCAGTAATTCTAAGAGTCCCTCCACATACTGTGGGGTCAGGACAAGGCACAGGTGCTTTTTGGAAGGCACAAGGATGCCAGTGTGATTTCAGAGTCTGTAGTGACTGCTGAAGGTGCCAAAGTGCCACTGGTTCATTACATATGCATATGTTGTGACGGGTTGTGTTATTTGGCAGGAATATCTGGACATTGCATACACACTGGGCAGCAGCTGAGGAATGGGCAGTCAGCAGAGAAATGTGTCCTAGAGACTACACAACTGCAACTAAGCTAAGGATGATGATTGAATTATGATGAACATTTGCTGACAAACCCACACCCTGGCCACTGACCCGTTACAGTATAAAAATTCAGTGTTTGTACAAGAATACTTCTAAAAAAAATCTAATGAGCAAATTTGAAATGCATATTTACTGGTATAATCATAAACTAAAATGCCATTATATATATATACATACATACATACATAAACACATGCAGTGACTAGTTACACCAATTTAAAACATACATGTTTCCCATTCAAAAGGATTCCTATGCAATATAGAAGACTGTTTGGTTATGTGATGTCCTTTGTATTTAACACATAAAATAATATTTTTTTTGTAAATCCCTTAACTTTGGACGGAACTACAAGCACAAAGTATTTTTTGTGTATATAATATAATAGATTAATATATCTACCTTTTATCTACTTTTTCTTCTGACTGATACTAATTCCATCACAGTTACAAGCTCAGCTCTTCTAATCAAAGGTTCTTATCAAATACACTATTTCAAAATGTAGAGAAAATCTATAATTGTTTAACTTTAGCTGTTGATGGAAGTAATAGAGCATTATCAATTGCCTACCTTGTTTCATTTGTATTGATAAAAGGAACTTTTGATAAAACTGGAAGATGCAAATCACTTGTGTTTAGTTGGGTACAAAATACAGCATTCAAATATTCATTTTAAAAAACACCATAACAATATGTACAAAATACAGTAGAGCATAAATAGTTCTCTTTCAGTCATATTCCACAGAGGATTGTCTCTGGCTGCAAAACCAATGACAGAAGCAAGTATGATACATTTAACAAGATCAGATTGCAATGTTGCATGTTATTACTATATACAGAAGCTTTCATTCACAATACGACTGAACAGCTTATTTTACCCATGGTCACAATAATTGAGTAATTACATTGATGATGAAGACTGCATCAGGATTGGTTACTGAATCTTGGTTCATACATTTCAGATAGACTGTTACTGGGCAATAAATCTTACACTTTGTTAATTATACAACCTAAAAAAATGTTTTGGGTAAGCAAAAAAAAAAAAAAAGAAGAAGAAAAAAGAAAGAAAGAAAAAAAGAAATCTGTATTTATGTTTGTGACCTGTCAAGTATAAAATAATGCAGAAAATACAAAGAAGTACAAAATAATATAAGAAGTTAATGTATATCTTTGCTGCAAGCCCTGATAAGACAACTGTCCATCATTATTTACAACTGAAATAATGCCAGAAATACGATGTGCCTAAGATTGTTCGTAGGAATTATATTTTAGACATCTATTTGGAATGACAAAGGTATGTTTACAACTAAATTTTAAATCAAATGCTTTACCATGAAATACACAACTGGAAGCAACAGAGCAACACTATTTTGCCAATTTTTCATTTTTCATTGCAAAACTTGACTAGGTTATAGAATACAGTCTTTACAGATACAAAACTAGGCTGGTCTCATTACGGCAGATTGTAAGACAATCCTTCTTCTTTTTCAGAGTTTTTAGAGTTACTGCACTATTTTCCATACACTGGTATCTGTGATGCCAGAGTTTGAGATCAAATCAGATATATACACTACAAAGAATTTCCAGATTAATTGGAAAAATATTTTTATCTATTCTATTAACTGTGTAATTGCCACACCTTCAGTAACCATATTATAAATGACATATTTGGTAAATCATGAGTAGATATACTCAATTCTCTCCCCTCAAGATGATATAAGAACAAGATTGAAAACCATCCATTTTGTACTAAAAACATTCACACTGAAGTAACCATAGGTACCTCAAAATAGTTTTATCTTTCCATCAAAATGTATAACAAGATTATAGATCTATCTTACATCGCTGTCTCCAGAGGCTGACTTTGTGACCGACCTTGAGAGAAAAAGTCTTGTGAGTCTACAGACGCTGCATTTGAGTTTCTTCCTGACAGAACATCTGCTGAAACATAGTGGAAGGGTGGTGCTTGATCTCTTGGTAGGGTCGCAGCCAAGTGTGGGTCTTGTGTGTCTCTGGCTAGGTCCATCTCCTTCTTCATCTCAAGTGTTGAGTCTGTGGCATTGCTGCTGGGACCCAACTGCTGGTTTGAGCCATGGAGTGATTCGTTTTTGAAACTAGAGGTTGTGCTGTGTAGAAGAAGGAGGCAATCATAAGTCTGTGTTACAGTCGTCACACATTCTGAATGATGTGCAGTGCTTTTTCTTTATGTTCTCAGCTGTATAATATTAGTGCTACTAATACAAGACTATGATCACCAAGCACATCACCATATATTTTGTTTTAATTCAAAGATTACAGTGGCTCACACAAAATCTCAAGAAAAATCATAACTGTGGATACTCTTTGTTTACAGCCATCCACTGAAGTTTTGGCTCTCATTCACACTGAATTTCACAACACAATAAAAAGGTTCTACTACTACTAGTAATTTACAAAACACTGAAATATTAACAAACCAACATACACATCATAGACAAACAAAATAAATCTTGTGACCTAAACATTATCAATATTGTAGTTGCACATACATATAACTGAGGATGTAATCACAATTCTAATGTAATCATTTCTTATATACAATCAAATATAAATATTTAAAAATAAAATATTTAAAAATAAAATATTTAAAAATAAAATATTTAAAAATAAAGTGTTATAAATCTGTCTTCAGAGCAACAAGAATATAAACAACTGTAGTATAATTATTATTAAGATATGCATCTGATGGCTCTAAGGTAAAGAAACTAAATTGTGCCTTCAAAACTACAGGTGCAAAATCCCAGTACATCACCAGAAACATAATAATAAATTAACATTTAGCAATATTTATGATGCATTATCATTACAATCATTACTGAATGAATTATTAACTCAGACAAACAGACATGCATTATACATGATTACATACAGTGTAAACAAGAATCAATTAGTGTAGACGTACAAAACTGTTTACATTCTATCTGCCAGTATCTTACAGTCTTGAGATCAGGAAAAAAAAAAAAAAAAATCAAAAGATCATCAACATCATAACAAAGAACAAACTGCAAATCAATCAATGAGGGAACACAAACCCAACATTCATAACCAAAGTTTTATAAATTACCCGTGTAAAGACTTGGGTCGAACACCAGCATTTATATTGTAGTTACTGGGCCTGTATGGACGGCTGAAGCAGATAGAAGATGGTTTAATATGTGATGTGCAACAAATTCTAACCTAAGGCTAATCTACGTGTGATAAAGCCAAGTTACCCAGAAATACTGTCATGGGTATGCCTCAAGTGAAGTACCTGTCAACAGACTGTGTGTTGATGCAGATTGTATTGTCTTGTCGTAATTATTATTTTATAATATTATTCCTTATTTGAAAAATACATGCTATGAGTACCATAGTTCACATCG